ATCCTGTATGCGTGTTTCGGAGACACAGCACACGTCAATGGTAAGAGACTCTAGGGTTTTAGCCAAGGAAGCCTGCTGACCAATTTGACATAGGGTGCGTACATTGAAGGCTCCAATGTGTAGTTTGGAGCGAGGTTTCAGTAGACCTGGGACAGTATTTTGCGCACTAGAATTGTTGGCTATGGTGACACTTGAGGTGGAAGCCGAGAGAGGAAATTTATAGTTGAAAGTCGATGTAGGAGGAATAATAGGAATTGAAGAGGAAGGTTGATTATGAATACAGTGGGCTTGAGTGCTGTTAGAGGTATGAGGGCGGTTTTCACTTCCCGGTTGCCCACACCTTGGAAGGATCCAAGTTAGCACTTGTTTCGTGATTCAGTTTGATGATTTTCACAACGTATGTCCTATCCACTTCCATCATCTCTTCTTAATTTCCTCTTGTTTGTTGTTTTGAGTTCCAGATCTTTTTCAACTGTAGGAATGTCGCTCTCCCTTTGCCAAGCCTCACCTTTACATCTGCATCGGATCCTTCTTGTTTACAGATGATGCTGTGCACCTGTTCCAGAGCTCCTTCATCAAGTATGATTGGTTTGGTGTTCTCTGTGTTGATTTTCAATATCTTGCTTTTTCCCTTGTGTATGTTGAGGCCTACTGATGCAGAGGCTTCTGCTACACTGTCTGTCTTCACCTGAATTTGTTCGTGTGTATAAGATAGAAGAGCTATGTCGTCTGCGAAATCCAAATCGTCTGGCTGCATCCAAGCTGTCTATTGTATTCCATGCTTACTCCAGATATAGAGGTCTTCATAATCCAGTCGACCACCAGAAGAAAGAGAAAGCGGAGACTAAGCATACTTTTCTGACTGGTCCTCAATTGGAATGCATCTATCACCTTTCCTCCATGCACAACTTTGCAGTGAAGTTCGTCGTATGAATTCCGGATGATGTTAACGATCTCCTCAGGTACACCATAGTGTCGAAAAAGAGTCCGTAAGGTTCTCCTATCCATGCTGTCAAATGCTTGCTCGTAGTCATGGAAGCTGATATATAGTGGTGAGTTCCATTCAATTGATTGTTCAACGATGATCCGTAGTGTTGTAGCTTGGTGTCTGCACGACTGATCCTTAAGGAATCCGGGATGTTGGTCTCGAAGCTGGTAGGCGTCGACTGAATCTTTCATTCGACTCAACAACACTCTGTTGAAAGCGCTTCCTGGTGCCGACAGTAGTGTGATGCCTCCAAAGCTGAGTTCTCATACTCGCTGAGATCTCCTTTATCGATTTATTGACGATGTGCTTTTCCCGATCTGTTATCATTTGTTCTTCCTCCCATATCTTTCTGAATAGAACGTGGAGTATCTTTAGAGTCATCTTTCTGTCTGACTGCAGTGCTTCATGTGGTATGTCGTCAGGACCTGCAGCTTTCCTACTCTTCGTTTGTCTGATGCCCATGCCGATTTATTCGATTGTTCATGTGATGACATCTATAGGAAGGTCCATTTGTGCTGCCTCGATGACGGCGGGTTCAATGAAGCTGGCCTATTCAAGAGTTCATGGAGTATTCTACCCATCTGTCCCTCTGTTCTTGAATCTCAGTGATTGTCTTGCTTTCTTTGTCCTTGACTGGTGTCTTTGGTTTACTATATCCCTATGCTAGTTTCTTCTTTGTGTCATATAGTTGTTTCATATTTCCCTCTCTTGCGGCTTCTTCCACTATCGCTACTAGATCTTCCACGTATTTCTGCTTGTCGGCCCTGATGCTCCTCATCACTTGCTTGTTGGCTTCTGTGTATTCAGTTTGTGCTTTAACTTTCTCTGCTCGTGTTCGGCTGTTGTTAATCGCTGTCTTCTTTTTCTTCCTTTCTTGAATCCTGTTCAGGGTTTCGATAAATATCCATTCCTCATGATGATGTTTCTTGCTACCCAAAACCTCCTGACACGTTGAGATTAGTGCTTCTTTGATCCTTTTCCAGTTGTCCTCCATAGTATTGTCTTCTTCTTCTAGTAGATCCTGTAAGTCTTGGAACCTGTTGTTGAGATTTATCTTGAGTCCGTTGAGTTTGTTAGTATCTCACAGGAAGGCTGTATTGAACCTTTGTTATGCTGTTTCCCCAATTGTTCAGTGTTTCTTTAGCTTTAGTTTCATTTTGGCCACATCCAGGTGGTGATCTGAGGCTATTTCAGCTCCTCTCCTGGTTCTCACGTCTTCCATCGTCCTTCTGAATTTTTTAGTGATGCATATGTGATCGGTCTGGTTCCCTGTAGTGTGATCCCGTGAGACCCGTGTATTTTTGTGTATGTGTTTGTTGGGGAATATCGTTCCTCTTATAACCGCTTTGTTGAATACATATAGATTTGCAGATCTCTCACCATTCTCGTTTCTTTCTCCCAGTCAGTCCATGTCGTCCTATGGTATCTTCATACATGGTGTTGTCCATTCCGACTTTGGCATTTAGGTCTTCCTTCAGGATGGTCAGGTCCTTTCCTGAGCACTTCGCTATGGTTGATTGCAGCCTCTCGTAAAACTGATCTTTATCGTCGTCGTTGTTATCATTGGTGAGTGCCTAACATTGGATAAGATTCATTATGATTCCCTGTTTTTTTGTTTTGAAGGATGCATTGACGCTCCTGGGTCCATGAGATTCCCACTCAATAAGTGCATTTCGTGTTTCTTTGAATAACATCAGAACAACTCCCTGAGTGTGTGGAGCATTTCGTTCTTCGTGACCAGAGTACAGCAGCATCTCTCCAGAATCTATCCTTTTCTTTCCAGCTTGAGTCCAATGGGTTCCATTGATTCCGAGCATTGCCTAGTTGTATCTCCTCATTTCCGTAGCTATTTGGTTGATCTTCCCGGTTTCCCACATTGTCCGAACATTCCACGTACCCACATTGATTGTTGCTCTGGTTGTTAGAAGGGGAATCGGCCTCGTGATTTTCGAAGAATCTCGGCTTTGACCATGAGGCACCATTATTCTTGTGAGTGAAGATCCGACAACTCCAATGGCCGGGCTTTAACGGTTTACGTGATTTTTTTATGGTCAGCTTTTTTTAACAAGATCGTTTTCTATGGGGCGTGTTCGCTGACTCCATGCTTAATTCCACTCTATTTCTGGGTTTGGAACCGGCGATTTCCCTAGAAGGGCTACAGGTGGAATTGACGAGAGCGGAGTGCTTGTTTTATTTTCCAGGTTTTCAAGAGGGTATTATACAATAATTTTTGATTTCACTCGTTCACCGGTACTTTAGTATGAACTTGTTCAACTTAAAAGCCATATCAATAATTTTATCCAGATCTCTCAATAAATCACCTCATCAAAATACTATATGCCTTCTTGACAAACATAACTGTAGATCATTCAAATTTTTTTAGTTATTTTCATTTGTAGTTAAATATTTAACACTGCAAACTTTGGTTTTGAAAAGGGATAGGCCAAGGAAATAAGTTTTAAACTAATCAGTCGTTATCCATATTCATTATCATAGGTAACATGAACGTATTAAAACGTTGGTCAGGCAAACGCAACACAAAACCTGCACATGTGTCCATCAGTTCGAGTTGCCACACTTCACATAAGAATAGCGAAAGTAAATTACCAAAGTTTTAATCAGAAAAGTAAAACTACTGTTCATAATATTGTTAGTAAAAACTAAAAACAGATAATATGGTTTAGTAAAGAAGGTATACTATCGAAGAGTAAAATATCCAAAATAATATTCAGGCTAAAGAAATGGTAAAATTATATATATATATATATATATATATATATATATATATATATATATATATATATATAATACTGCGACAGACTTCTATTCGTGTCACCTGAGCTATTCAACAATTGATTGCGTTTATCTCACAGACACTAACCAATGAGTCTACTCTTGTCGACATGTCTCAGTTCAACAGTCGGTGGTTTTATGGACTCCTACTAAGTCTCAGTTTGACACTTGTTAGTCTTTATTCATATTACTTTTACACTGGCCAATGTAGTAATGCCCACGAATAGACGGTGTATTGTTACATGTAACATATGTCATCACATCAATCAATGAAGGATTACATTCTCAATTATAATAGATTTGCCATTTTTACCTATTTTCCTACCTCCAAACTCAGTGTTACGCATTTGGTGGTCCGACTATATACAGCTGATACTTCAAAGGTGTCTATGATCAAATGTTAGTAAGCTACATATATCTTCTAGTCTCATAGGCCATATTTCAAAACTTCCAGGCAGTACAAAATATATTAACCTTAAGTGTACCGACAGCTTAATAAATAGACGAACGTGTTCTTTGCATCACATCTGGTGCATTTCGAAAAGCCAAACGACGTATTGTTATCCTTACTGAGATCTCGCTAGTCACTAGAGTTTGTGACAGTTCTCGAAGTGGAGTGACCACCTTGATTAACCGTTTCATTCCGTATGGTCATTAATCGATTTCTAGGTGCCAAAGAACTGATAAACCACCACAAAACATTAGGGATTTAGAAACCGTTCTTTGTAATTTTCTTATTGCTAAAGTATTACACAGCTTTACTCTGATTGCGGATGATTAATAGGATACACAATTGTCTTTCTTCAAAATTAAATGCTTTTAACTGTGAATTCATTTTCATTATCAATGTATGGTCATACTATTATAATCAATAATGTATATTTTCTTCAAACTGAATAAATATTAGGTAAAACAGAGAAAGCTTTTCTTGATGCATCTTTAACATGTCAAAAAATGATATTAAAGATTCCCATTGTGGAAATTAGAATAACACGTATAAGATATAATATGATTATTGAGATGCTAGGTTAGTTGTACTGTACTCGTTATTAGTATTATCTGTCTAGTTGACTTGTGTAAAATGTGTGTATACCTCTTAGTGTAACCATTTATTTCTCTTCAAACATGTGATCATCATTTATTTGTGTAAATGTTTAGCTTTTTCAGAAGTGTTATTGTTATACTCATCCCACTTTACCCAAATTTCCTCTTATTTCAGATCCATCTTCTTTCGTCTATTCACGTCCGGTTATTTTACAACATTTCCCCCTATATCGCACTTCTGATAGTGGATGCTCTACAAAACCAATGGATGCTATGCCCAAACACTTGAGAAAAACTGTAAACAGACCGAAACTTGATTGTCTGTCAAAAGAGGCAACAAAACAAGTACGTCCCGAATTTCACCAGTATTTTGTATATTTTGAATGCAATAATATGAATTTTTAAGTTCATATATATTACCTGTCTTCAAAAACAAGCTTTATTTACCTGTAAAATCGGTTACACATTCATTCAAATTAGATTTTTATGCTTTATTGATCTGTTTCTATGCTGAAATAACCTCCGAAAATATACACTAAACCAGGCAATGCGATACAGTTACCTTAAAATAACTGCTTGACTCTGGTTTGTTATTGACACCATATTTCACAGAAGGTTCTCCCTAAAATTTCAGTCTGTCGCTATGTGGACACTTCTTATGTGTCCCAAGTCAATACAAAACACTTTCAGTGTAATTTATATCCTGAATTTCATCCTAATCTGACTGATAAATCATTTACCAGTCAAAGATTTCTGTACTTGACTTTAAACCACACTCTAAGCACAAGGGCTAACGATCCAAGTCGAGCGGTGTTCATACCTGCAGTCTAATGACTGTAAATTGAAGGCCTTAACCTCTCTGTTTCAAGAGTTAGTTTGAAGATTAGCTCACTAAAAAGTACTACACATCTGACCGAGCCTGATTAGGAATCTTCCAAGGCTTCAAGTTGATGGGCATTGGTGAACCTCTACCTACAACCAGGCCGTTCGTGATCGCCTTGGTCTTTGTCCTAGTTTCTCAACCGTTTTCCAACTAATATCATTCCTTGTCATCCAATATGGGACCTGGCACATATGGGCATCAGTTCAAGTTGCCACACCAGATTACCAGAACAAGTTAAAATTATTAAGATAGATCCCTGTGTAGGAGTAGAAACTGTGTTAATAACAATAATATCGAGGACTAAGTATAGAAAAAATGTATAAGGAGATTTCAAGGCTCACGTTCTCGTGAGACACTAAAAGCGAATGCTCCTACACCATTAAGTACGATCCTGAGTTATATTAGGGTTTCGATAATCTCACGGATCCCAACCAATTAGGCTCCACATACCTACATGGCTTAGTCCAGTTGTCAATGTTTACATGAACTGTTGTTGAGTCTTGGATTGACCACCCCCTAATTTCTTCCAGCCCACATCTACATTAAAATTGCCTATCTAGGTTGTTGATAGTTGGGGGTATGTGATGATTTATTTATTTGAACACATAAACAGTGGTTCAAGAGGGCACCAAATACTCCACACAATAACAACGAAACCAGTAGCGGTTATTATTGATTTGTGTGAGGGCTATGACATCACACCATTTTAGTGTTAAACGAACTTTTTTGGTATATTACACGTAAACCACTTCTAAAGGATAATTATTTGTTGTCAAAATAGTCAGTACCAATTTTAAGTCGGAATTTTAATTCATAGAAGTTCGGCTTTCATGTACAAACATCGACTATCAGTTATTGCTAGTTTGATATCTGTCACTGTGGCGGTAATTTATAGTTTTGAACGCAAAATGTTGAATTCTCGTTCCAAAATGTCAGCATTATTTATGACTATAATCTGAGCAATATCAAAACTTCATCCCTGCTGTTGGAATTATAATTATATCATTCTTTTTTTTTATAAAATTAGTTACTGGAATCTCTTCGTCCACGACTAATACTATCTGGTCATACACATTACTCATGTAAAATGTCACATCGATTCGGTAACCAATCGGATTCTGCTGTGGAATGGTCAGTTGCTAGCTTCTCTTGGAGAAATCTCGCAAATCCTGGATTTCTAATGGTATATTAATTGGATTATTATCCGTAATACATGCAATTTACCGGAGTTATTCCTACTTCAACTGACTTTAATTAATTCATGAACAATATTAATTAAGTTACAATGATATGCATAGACACTAATTTAATCTATACCATGCTTTATTCAAAGCATCAATGACGAAAGAAATTGAACAAAATGAGAATCGATAAAGTGGAAATAATAAGATGAGTGATCGTGGAATAAAATCAGGAAATATTTATACTTAGAATGGGTAAAATGTGGCTAGCAGTGAAATCCAGATCGCGTGTTTCATCGTATTTGATACTCATCAGCTGGATGTACCTGGATCTCAGAGATGATGTACCAAGACTGATCAAATTTCAGTCAAAATATCAACAACGGGATAATTCAAACCACTATAGATTGAATTAAAACTCAAATCTGTTGCGCAAGTGAGTAACTGTTTGAACTCAGAGCCTAAGTTGATGACGTGTTATCGTTCGGAGTGTTACTGAGTTTTAGTACCAAAGAGGACATAGTATGCAGGTACATCCAGCTGACGGGTCTCAAATAGGACGAAATGAACCTCTAAAATTTCACTGCTAGCAACATTCCATCTATTTCATGTAAGCTTGTCACAATGGCTATTTTTAGGCGATTTTCTCGGGATGCACATATCCCAACTCTGATCAAATTTTAGTCAAAATATGGTAGAGGTAATTCGAACCATTACAAATTAAATGAAGAAATATTTAGTAAGAAAAATCAACTAGTTCAATCTTTGTTGAAGGGGTTTTGTGCAGATTGGTCTAATCTCTATGTTGTATCACCAAAAGCTGGGGGACACCTGGCAATTGTTTCATCCCATTATGCGCTATACATCGACGTTCATTCAAGGCCTCGTCATTTATCAAACTCGGGACCTTCAAATCTCAGCAAATAATCGCCCATTTAAAAAACTGGGTAGGCGCCCAGTGATACAATTTCTACCTCGATTAATATGTGACAGCGTTACAAATTTTAGTCTTTTAGTTGATTCAACTAATAAACGACGCGTAACTGACCTCACTTTATCACACAACCGATACAATTTGCTTTTGTTCTAGGTTCATTAAAATTAAAAGAGTCTCAAATAAATAATCAAGGAGATTAATTCAGATTTCTGTAATTGGTATTTTACAAGAGTGACTGTCGTTACCGTATTTCATATCCTATAGTTTCTCAAAACACTATAGCGAGGCGGCTTAGTGGGTAAACCACAAGTCATCTCAATATATGACTACTTATTCGATCCCCATCAAATTCATTTTGTATTTGTTTAGGCGCATAGTACAACATACTAACATAAACTTGATTACGGAGTTGCATTGTCAATAGTTTGTTTCATATAAGCCAAATTCGTTTTCAAAATCTTTAGTTAATAGGAAATAAATTTTGTTTGGTCATTTCGAGAATGTCTAATAAACTGATTTTTTCGACTGTTCAGTATTCCCTGACCACTTGAATTTGTTAGACGTTTCTCAAATCGGAACAAGAATTAAAAGCAAATAAAATAAGGTCCATTAGTCCGGACAAGAAAGATATCAGTAAAAACACTAGAGCTTATATAAAATTTATATAAAAGTCTTCTATCATCTCATTTCGTCCACTAGCACTGATTGGTTAAAAAACTGACCATTCAGTATATCGAATTTGAGTCTGATTAGAATGCAGTATAGTCAGTGTGATTGGGCCGTAATATCGACTAGCCATCGTCTAGATCTAACTGTGACAAAATAACGCACATACCATTAGTTCGCTTTATGAATTTAAATATAGCCAGAACGAATATAGGTGCAGCACATAACTCATTAAATCAATACGCGCATGCGTGAGCTACCTATACTTTTACTGCGTATACGTCCTTGCATTATCGGTGTAATTACACTACCTCCTTTTTAGATCAAAAAATAGGTTAAATCGATGTGAATGTGTTGCTTAATAATTGATAAACGATCGATTGATCACTGGATAGAGACCAATATTGTTTGTCAACTCCTCAGTTCTGATCGAATTCTATCAGTCAAGTTGCAATGTGGCTACTAGTCTAATTGATTTAGCATTTCGTGCACTGTGTCGAGCTGTAAAATAGTGGTTGAAAATAGTTAACGGGAAACCTTGGATAGGTGATATAGAGTTAAATTCTTCAGTGAGTATCAGTACGTTAAACTTACAGGTACACCTTGCTGATGAGTGCTAAATAGCGTGAAACCTAGGTTTCAGTGATTTCGTCAACTACCTCCACCACCTTACAGCTAATTGAGAGAGTATTTAGTATTTTTTTAGAAATTACACTAATATCATTTATAAAGTTGGATTCTGTGATAATAAACAATGCTGATTATATTCTTTTGCAATATTTACTATTTCCTCATATCTTTCTTGTTTTACAGCTTTCAATAACGTCCACAAATTATTCAGTAAATAAATGTTATCTCCCAACTGAGTTGCGTTTATTACAAATTTATATTTCCGGTGTTCTACTCATACTTTTTGTTGTCACGTATCAAAAGTTAATACCATATTTCGTTTAAATCTTTTTTCCTAGGACTATATGGACATAATTCGAAACTAATACATTTTCTTAACTCCCAATGTCTTTAAAAATGTATTTTCTTTATTCCTTTGTTTATCTTCATGATTGTTGCACTGTTTTGACGTATTGTATTGATTTCCGTACCTTTTTCTATTCTATAAGTAACATTACATAAGCTGTTTCGTTTTGAAAAATCAATAATAATAATCTCGATAGTAGATTATTTCTTATCATAATCTGTGTGTATGTGTGTGTGTGTTTAAAACAACTGATGAACGCCTATATAGCTCTACGTACTGTCGATTGAGTAAGCAATTATTATCATTAGCTCTCATACTGTACAGTGTGAGCCGATGCCAAGTTTATAAATCTGTGCTTGATTGACGATTCGGTAATAATATTTATGTGCATTTCTAGATCATACATTTGTATATCTAGAAATCTTATTTCCCGATTTAAACTAATCTAAATAACAATCCGTATTTTTATGTGAAATGGGAATTGTTATCCAATGGAAGTGCTTTGTACTTGTAATGTGCATCACATTTGACTATTCATCAAGAAGAAAACTCGATTTAAAAACTTTCAAGATGAATAAGAAGAAATAAACACGATATGTTTGCATCTGATTTATTTTTACGCATTCTTAAATGAGTTTTGTGGCGATGACCGGGTTTTGTAATTCTGCATCTTAGACTGATCTTGATTAAACAACCACTGAAATCTAAAAATCCCTTGGATGAATATTAATAACTAACTGAAGCTAGACGTATTAACCGTTGGATGGTAATTCAATTATCTGAGAGATAAGTGCTCGTCATGAGCTCAGTAGGTCATGGGTTCTACTCCTGGTCCAGTTGTTGATAACCACTTCCGATAAGCCCTATATCAGTATAAAACATGTCCAATGGTTAATGGTTTATAGTCATGGTCTATCCAAAGTCAATCTGATGTGCAAACACGAAATATGGTTGTTCTTACAAAACGTTGAAACAGTGAGATTACAGCACTTGTTAGCGTTCATGCGTCATTAATAATCACTATACAGTAGGTTTTTTCCACTTACAACAATATGATTAGCTCCTACTAATAATAACTCATTATGTAATATGATTCGTCATAGGTAAGTGAATTACTGATTATAATAATAATTTTCAATATATTACTTAGGTATAATAAAGTTGGCATGTCTAGAAAAACGGATTCCAAAAATGACGATCGAGTGTTTGGACCAGTTTTTCAGCCTGATGATCTTGTTCCATCCACTGGGATAGGCCCTGCATTACCCTCTGATTTATTCAAACAGAAATTAAATAAAGAGTCGGAATCAGTCAATTATAAATCTCCCACTAACTTTGAAGAGATCGATACTATTGGTCCTTTACTACCGGGACAAGAAATAAGAGAAGAGTGGCGGCATCTGAAATCTGGTGTATGTTGCTTTTTTTATGTTTCAGGTATCACTTTCAGTTGAAAATCTTTTTTCTCAAGTTTGCTTGTAAATATTTTACATATCACTTTTCTTTGGTGAATTGCACAGAATATCGTTTATTAGTTGAATATCATCCAAGAAATTCGTTGTAAACATCTTAGTTAACCTAATAATCTCATGAATATTGGGTTTATAAGAGATAAATATGTAACAGTTTAAATTTCGTAATTCTATTTGGAGACTCTCCGCTTTCTCTCAGTATACAACATGATTATGTAAACACTAAATACCGGTGTTTTGAAACTAGTCATTCTTGTGGGACTAATAAACATCTACTTTGAAGATCCATAAAATTGTCTGCTGTTTGGTTGACAAAGTGACATTGTCTTCTGCATGTTGTTTTTGATCGATATCCTGTTATTAGTACAGATAAAATTCGATCGTCTTCATTTCATCTGGAAAAATTATGAAACCAACAGTTCTAAATAATCTATTAACCTCATAACTTAGCTCTTTCAAAAAGTATTTTGTAATGATATTTACGGCAAAAACTCAACTATTTTTACCATTACTAGGGATAACCAAAGCTTGGGATCAATGCACGAAGTTTTTGATTGTTGAAGTAACCTCTGATTGTTAGTTCGCAGCCCCTACTCCACGAAATCCCGATCGTTGTTGCTACCTTGGTATGGTGGTCAAGCTTACTTATCGTGATGAACCAATCGGGCTATACTGGCTGAGACAATCGTTCCTCAAGGTCCTACCATGTCAGACAAGTCGGTTGAAGAGCGGTAAGACTAAAAGCAGTAAACCCAATGTACGAGGGCGAAATCGTACTTCTTACTGTATAGAGGTGCAACGGCAGTATGGTGATTCCTTCAGAAAACCAGCATAACAGCGATGCCGCCTTCCCACAAGGAGGGGTGGGGTTAGAAAAGGTCGACCCTAAAAATGCACACCTCGCCTTATCCCATGGATATCCGTCTCCGGCGGTAAGGTCTCAACAAGTACGGAGCTAACACAAAAATTGCCCATAAAAAGTTCGTGTGAGACCGACCTCAAGCAGTTGTACCTTGGGCACTGCGGTCACGCTCCCAGGTCACTAAGACCACTTCTAATCCGATTTCCTTTTCAGGTACCTTCAGAAAAACCCTTCCACGGTGTGGGCAACCAGGAAGTGATAACTGCCCTCATACCTCTAGCAGCACTCAAGATCATTGTATTCATACTCAGTGTCCCTCCTCACTTTCTATTATTCCTCCTACCTCAACTTTCAACTCGAAACTTCCTTCGCAAGTGTCACCATGGCTAACGACTCTAGTGCGTGAAACGCTGCCCCAGGTCTACTGAAACCTCGCTCCAAACTACACATTGAATCCTTCAACGTACGCACCCTCTTTGGCTGAAACCCTAGAATCTCATACTATTGATGTATGCTATGTCTCCGAAACACACATACAGGGTGCTAGTGTGGTCACTCACTTGACCTCACCTTGCCATAATGGGGAGCCGACGAGAAACACCCTCCGTATATCTGGCGACCCGATGGCTAGTTCTTGTGGACTGGCGGGTGTAGACGTAGCACTGAGTACGAAGGCAGAACAAGCACCATTAGAATGGATCCCCGTTAACAGTCATCTGAGTGTTGTTCAGCTGAACGGCTCCATAAGAACTCGGAAGGATAGGGATACGTCGTTGTTTAGATGGTAGTTGGAGGTAGTCAACAGGAAACCCTGGACCCGGGTTTCGTGCTACTTGGCACTCGTCAGCAAGATGTACCTATAATCTTGAGAGAACTGGTGCTCCCTGGCGGATTCGATCTCCTGTCACATGATCGATAGCATTCGATCTGCACTAATAAGGACTAGACAAACATGACATTGATCACCACCCAGTGATCAACCAATTGTGATTACATCTCAGTCCTACAGGAGGTTAGTCACGGCTCGGATAGCTCAGTGGTAACGTCTCTGATTGTGAAGCTGGGTGGCACGAGATCGAATCCGCCAGGGAGCACCAGTTCCCTCAAGAGTACAGGTACACCTTGCTGACGAGTGCCAAGTAGCACGAAACCCGGGTCAAGGGTTTTCTGTTGACTACCTCCAACTACCATCTAAATATCAATACATAGTGCCCGCAGTGTCGAGTCACCTAGACTGGTGGCCACATTGCAACATGATCGATAGCATTCGATCTGCACTAATAAGGACTAGACAAGCATGACATTAATCACCACCCAGTAATCAATCAGTTGTGGATACGTCGTTGTCTTTTCGTCGTTTCTCCCTACGCTCCCACTTACTGCAGCTCAGATGATGTGAAAGATGAATTTTACAGAAAGCTATCTGAGCTTCTTCAGAAAGCTAAACGTTCAGACATAGTACTTGTAGCAGGTGACCTTAATGCCCAGATAGGTAGTTTAAACCAAACAGAAAGGCATTTAGGTGAGTATTTTAGTATACCGGCACAACGAACAGATAATGGTGATCGTCTGCTGCAACTATGCTCAGACAATCGTTTATTTTTAACAAACACTAATTTTAAGCATAAGGAGAGACATCGTCTAACATAGCGACCGCCTGCACCAAGCCAACGATAAATTCAAATAAACCATATTACCATCAGTCATCGTCGGAGAGGCTCGATAGAAGAATCGCTTGTTCTCAAATACCTGTTTGGACACCGATCATGCTCTAATACGAGCCCGCATTTGCTTGCTCCTCACTGGATGCAGAAAAACCACATTAGGGTTGGACTCAGTGACGAAGTGCCAAAAGTAGATTCCATGAACAACTGAGGTCGCACTTTGATAGTTCTGAAAACGTGGCTGACCCATATATTGCTTGGAAAGATATACGAACAGCTGTTGAAACAGCAGTGACATCTATTAGTGATTTGAACCAAACGGTCACGAAAAGCCAATGGATTTCCACTAAGTCTATTACACTGATGGATTCTCGTAAACACTCCATCAAGCTCTGGACTCGATAAAGAACGAAAACAAATCAGATATAGGTTAACCAAAAGTCTAAGGAATGACCGTGAGCAGTGGTGGGCAGCGAAAGCAAGAGATGGAAAAGGCAGCCGCTGTAGGTAACGCCAAACATTGATCCAGACTAATAAAAGAAACTGGAATTAATTAATCAAGTTTAAGTGAGGCGATCTCGGAAAAAGACGACACTCTTATCTGCTCTCAGTCCAGACGTTTAGAACGATGGGCGGAACATTTTAAGAAGCAGTTCAGCTGGCCTTCAACTACTCTACAAATACACACCATACCCAAACAGCCTGAATGGAACATTGAAGTAGGTCCCCCGATTCCAATCCGAAGTCGAGAAAGAGCAGATGGATTGGTTCCAGTGGTATTTAATTATAGTGGTCCAGTTTTAGCGATTAGGTTAACTAATATTTGAGTTAAAATCTGGGAGTTAGACGTAATCCCATCTGACTGGACGCAATCACTGATTGTCCCAATATATAAGGGGTCAAAATCCCCGTGTGATAACCATAGAGGGATTGGTTTGACTAAAATAGCATCTAAAATACCAGGCTCAATAATTATTGGGCACCTAACAAAGACTCGTGTACTGCAAACACGAAAAAATCAGGTAGGCTTCAGACCTGGTCGTGGCTGCATCGACCACATATTCACCATTCGTCAGGTTTTAGAACACAAGCATGTTTATCGACGTCCGACAACGATGGTTTTTCTTGAATCAAAAACAGCATTTGACTCTGTAGACTGAGAGCTTCTGTGATACCCTGTCATTGAAAGGCGTACCTCAGAAGTACATAAACCTTGTAAAGGCTCTTTACTCAAACACTACCAGTCGAGTCAGAGCTTATGGCGAACTGTCATCTGCTTTGGCAAGCTCAAGTGGTGTCCGTGAAGACTCAAATTTCTCCATTTTTTTAACTTCATCATAGACATATTGATGGAAATGACATTCTCGTCGACTGAATTCTCGGGTATTGATCTCCTTCCAGGAGGTCCACTTATCGACTTAGAATACGCAGATGACATAGTCCTGTTTGGTGAAGACGCTGACAAAATGCAGAGTCTTCTGGTAGCACTAAACAACAATGCCAGAATGTTTGGGATGCGCTTCTCTCCCTCTAAATGCAAGTTGTTGCTTCAAGACTGGTCTGCGTCAACACCTGAACTAAGGATAGGGAGTGAAGTAGTCGAACGCGTTGACAACTTCACTTATCTTGGAAGTGTGATCAGCCCTAATGGGTTGGTGTCTGACGAAATCTCAGCACGGATCCGAAGAGCTCGCTTGGCTTTTGCCAACTTATGTCACCTATGACGAAGGCGAGATATCCGTCTATCAATAAAAGGACGAGTCCATTCTGTTTTAATTTACGGCAACAAAACATGGCCTTTAAGAGTAGAAGACACCCGTAAGCTACTAATATTTGACCACAGATGCCTTAGAAATATTGCTGGCGTCTGTTGGGATCACCGGGTAAGTAATAGTGGGGTTGAACGCAGGGTATTAGGTAATGATGGTAAATCAGTTGATGAGGTTGTGGATCTCCATCGACTGAGATGGTTGGGCCACGTGTTACGTATGCCCGAACACCTATTACCACGACGCGCAACGCCCCCAAGTTCCCTGGTACGGTCGAGAGTGAAGAGTGTCCACTTTTCCTCTCAAATGACCACGCGTATACAGCCGCTGTCACAGAATTCCTACTCACTACTTTCTCGCTGCAGGGTTGTTGTTTATGAAATTTGGAGGACTAAAAACGAATATCTGGCAATTTAACCGGGCGGGTTGACACGATGAGTCTACCTAGGGGAGTTGGAAAACCCTCATTTCAAACCAATGGTGCACATGGGCTCCAGTATCCTGAAGGAAGTAAAAGCGTATGGACCAATTGTTGGTCATCGGCTACCATGGGACTGCATCTCCTAAAGTTGCTCCATTGCCATGTGGATTAGACCTTCAGCTCGAAGGCTCCGGGTGTGGCCCCCTAAGAAAGTCACCTGCTTCGGTTTGGGCACCCGGGTAGTATCATAGCCCTCACACAAATCAATGATAACCGCTACTGGTTTCGTTGTTATTGTGTGGAGTATATGTATTTGGTGCCCTCTTGTACCACTGTTTATGTGTTCAAATAAATAAATAAAACAAATCATAACTCTAGCTCCTCACACTGGTTTATAACCCTCATTTAGTCCTAGTTATTAGGTCGACACTCTCAAGGTCATTTTAGAGACTCTAAAGTCATCCATCAATTACCGACGTTTTTGTTTTTTAAAGTGGTTGATATGATTCGGTGAGTTAACTTAACAACCAAGTAATAATTTATTAGCGAATGACGTCGCTGACAAATCTGATATCTTTAAATTTTTCATGATATCTTATCGATACTACTTTATCAAATAAAAATCTTATTCTCCTGACTAGTGGTCATATTGTCTTTGAAATAGGTTCGTTTGGAAGTTTGAGTCAATAATTAATGAGTATTTATTATCATTAGATCATATCACAACATTACATTTCATCTTCTGCTAGTGAAACGTATTAGATTTTTTTATATCAAATCCTTATTGTTAGATATGTCTCAATTAATAACTTTACATTGCAATTTATGTCATCAAAATTATAAAGAGGCTTATAGAACTCATTTACATGATACAAATGTATGGATTTACATTTAATGTACATTTTTGTGTAGAGGTTAGTGATATTTTATGATTAACCAAACTAAAATTGGTTGTAACAAAGTTTGAAACGGCGAACTCGACGAGTGACATTCAGGCTTTCTAACCTTTAAGAGGAAGCACGTCGGTCATTTTTCATTAATAATTTTATGGATTATACATTCAACATTCGGAATACTATAAATGTTACAATACTTAATTTGGTGCTATTGGCATCGATCGATAAGGTTAACAGTTGCAAACGGTGCTATCAGCTTGCTTTTTAACGACTTTGTTTTATCTCATAGTTTTGTTAGCTTTCTCCTTCATTCTGTCTCTTGATTTATACTGCTCAGTATTCAGGGGGTTTAAGCCGTGTAACGGTGAAAAGTGAAAAACTTAAACGTGATACATGGATGACAGAGTTATTACCCAGATCAAGTGTTCTTAATTCATTGAAATCATGTAAATTTCGTCAAGATATATCAACACCTCTTCATGATGCATCATGGTTTACTACACCAAGTGATGACTCAAAACAATTGTTAACTAGTAGTCAAGTGAGTTTATTTTATTCATAACTATTTCGTAATTTATATTCAACCAAATTAATCTTTTTCAGTGTGTATTCATCTGTGAACTAATTTATTACGCAATTATCCTTTCGGTTTGGGCGCCCGAGCAGTATTCCAGCCCTCATACAAATGGAATGATTTGTGTGGCGCATATATATTTAGTGCTTTCTCGTACAATGTTTATGTGTTTAAATAAACAATCACTTTATTAATTACATTAGTTGGTCTATTAACAAAGTTTTCCAATCGTTTCTTTCGTACTAAACAGTTGAATAACAATTAGTCCGGTTATTTCTATACTTGAATAATGAACTTTCTATGAGTGTTGTGTAGTCTTTACTCTTGTTGGTAACATCATATACACTACTCCAATAGTCGATCAATATTCATCGAACAAAGTGCTAATTTATTTTAATTCAATAAGTTTAAGCAGAGTTGGGTAGTGGCTACCAGTGGAAACCGTGGCATATTTCATCTACTGCTAGGTACTATTCGTTGGCTTAAAATGATTGTCACTAAATGGTATTACCTAGACAATCCGCAATGTTTGCATGTATTGATATGACGAATAATGGCTCAATGGATTGTGGCGCGAATCACATAGCAGTGATTTTTTCTCCCGTCCTCTGTGACATGTAATCATATCTTGAAAAGGAATATCTAAGTGTAAACATGTGCTCACTCTCTAGGTCATTGATTAATTGCTGTCAAGTACTCAGTTCAATTTACACAAATCTAATTAAGTCTTATAAAAAGTTGTTTATTCATGCACCATTCGACTTATTTTCGGGGTCAGATAATTCTTTATCACCAGTCATTGTCTTATCACTAGTTTAAGATATGGATTGGTTATCCTTAGCTACCTTTATGCAATCTATTAGTATATAAATCTATCCTATTTCAAGCTCATTTTTTAGTTTTCGCTTGTCGTTCATCGATGTTGATGTAAGTACTCATTGTACATCCATTTATTTTAGACAAATCAATCAATAAAGGACACTGTAAAATATCAACGAAATGAAGCATACGATCAGAAGATGGCAAAGATTGCTTCGAAACATCAAGTAATTTCAGTTTTACCGTTTTAGATATGATCTCTCTCTTCCTTCTTTTCTCTTTGTCCACCTTCTTGCGCCATAGATTTCTAAAGAAAAGTCAAGTTTACTTGAATTGCATGAGAATAAACTCAAACACAAATTAAAGAAGAAACATGAAAAGAAGTCCAAGAAACATAAGCATAAATCCAAGGTGGGTATTTATTTCACTTCGTAGCTAATGTTTCACTTTTGACGTTTTTCTTCAGAAGCACAAAAAAGAACGTGGAAAGTCATCATCACCATCTACCTCACCACCTGGTAAATCAACAAGACGACCTTTTGATCGTAAAAAAGATCTTAAACTGTCCCGAATTGATACAGCTGCTCGGAAGGCAATAATTGAACATTCCAAAAAGCTTTCCATTCGTTTCAGCCATGGTAGCCAACAGTATTTATAGTGTTTACATTTTAAAGTCTTGTTTACTTTTTCGAAACATGTTTTTCTTTATATAATGTCTTCTAAACTGTTGGTGTATTATGGTTCTATTTTAATTATTGTTTATTTCCTTTTTTGTTACAAAATCTCTTCACTAAGTTAAGAATTGTGTTTATTAAGTTCTACGGAACAACAAATTTGTAAATACTTTTATATCGTTAAATAAATAAATATTAACATTAAGATGGTGGTTGGAGGTAGTCAACAGAAAACCCTTGACCCGGGTTTCGTGCTACTTGGCACTCGTCAGCAAGGTGTACCTGTACTCTTGAGGGAACTGGTGCTCCCTGGCGGATTCGATCTCGTGTCACCCAGCTTCACAATCAGAGACGTTACCACTGAGCTATCCGAGCCGTGACTAACCTCCTGTAGGACTGAGATGTAATCACAATTGGTTGATCACTGGGTGGTGATCAATGTCATGCTTGTCTAGTCCTTATTAGTGCAGATCGAATGCTATCGATCATGTTGCAATGTGGCATGACATTGATCACCATCCAGTAATCAATCAATTGTGAAATAAATATTAACAACTTATACCTTAAGAAACTGATTTATGAAATGTGTTAGTAGAAAAACATTCACGTCTACGGAATTCTAGTCGAACGGAAGTATATTTGTATGACGTTTAAAGACGTAGCAAGCAGCGTTTTTTCTTGAATTTTCTTTTTCTGGGTTGTGGTTTAATGTTGAAGTCTTCATTATCTCTCTGTACAACATCCCCAGCATAAACTTGAGGTAGAATTAAGCTATTTGAATTCCTTCATACATAACTGACTACTTAATTTATCGACTTTGATTCGGATCTATGTTTACCTTTGTCCTATTGGAAACAATAAATATTCTGATAAGCTGTTAGTCATATATGGAAAAATTCAAACAGCTCACCTCCACCACTAGTTTGTTTACTGATAATCGTAATTAAAGGGACTATGTAGGCTTCAGAACTATTTACCCCATTAACGGAACTCCTAAAATCATCCATCTATTCGACAAATTTCCACCATCTCCAATAATGTATTTTTGTAATATTGGTTCATATTCATAGTTAAAATCGCGAAAGACTAGTTATTTCTATGTGAATTGATGAGATATGGGATTACGAAAATATCACAATTCTACTACTGCACAATAAAGAGATTGGTGACTAGATTCAGGTGTCTATTTCCTCTCCACGCTTTAGCGATAACTGTGGCCTCGCAATGATAGCAAATCTCTTCATGTCACTGGTTTGGCGTCGATGTCTCGCTAGCTCATCTATGGCGTAGGATTCTGCGATATTTCGGTAACATTGAAAAAAGATGGTATCTAATTTTCAGGTGGACACTTGGGAACGTGTCGTCTTATATGTGTATTTTAGAATGCGTTTATGGAAAGCAATACAACACCATTTCGGATTACAGTTTATATCAAGTTAGAGTTGGATACACAGATAAGACAAAGCATAAAAACTAGGAGTATTTGCAATACTCAGTCAAAATTAATTTCAGAAGTTGCATAAAAGATCAAATCTATGATGAAATTGTTTTGAATCGAGAAAAAATTGACTAAGGAAATCAGCTCGAGTTTAAATTCCAAACACTCAAAGTTAACGTTAATCATAATGAGCAATTATGAGTACTTTCTCAGCCTGGCAATATGTCGAAAAATGTGACATCTTGGGGTAAAGGTAGTCCATATTAGGGTCAGTATTCTTGGCGGCGTCAAGGATCAACTTGTAGTATGTAAGATTAAGTGCCCAAATCAGTTAACTATAAGGTGTGGCTCTTAGTTGTTAGGCGATTTTCATCTCAATGGTTACATTTTCTCCCAAATGAATAAGTGGAAAACGGGAATCTTACATGCGATATGTAACTGACTTCATCAGTCGAGTTTACGTTTTTATTTACAATGATGCGGATTAACTAATTATTTAAAGGCCACATGACAATTGAAGATGGCTACTTCTAAATTGTCAAGCTTTAAAAAGAAAACATCAACTAAAGACGGCATAATTAATACCCTTCACAATAGTGAAATCAAAGTAAAAAAAAACCAGACCAAATTCAGCCAACGAAACCTGGTGTTGTAATTTTGAGTTGTAACTGCTGCTATAGCCATATGAAGCGTACAAACAAACCCCATTATTTCCAGGTTATTTATACGCACTAGCAACTTTAGAAATTACCACGAGATTTGGCAATGTCCTCAAATTTGCATGTGACCACTACTACCACTGGTTCTGATGAAACGGATTCAGTGCTGTCTCTCGCTTTTTGGTTTACAAGTAATGTGACTTCACCTTACACACATTACATTTGCTGCAGTTATGTTATCAGACTTGCTTAGACACCAGATATTTTCAGCACGTCAGTATAAAGCATACCTAATTAGCTTAAAAAGAACATAGAAGGTTTTGGGCATTCATGAGCCATAATACCACGAACCAAATTATCAGAGAGATTTTAAGCTGGGTGGTCGTGAGTGATTTCTTTCGAACGTTTAAGAGCGATAGATTCAGTATCAAAGTGCATATCTGTCGTTTAATTGTCTCAGTTTTTTTAACCTTATTTTAGTGCAAATCATTCAGTACATACTATAGAAAAATTAGCATATCTTACTTTACGCCAAAAATTTAGGGATAGTGCGACAAGCATTGTATGCAATTACTATTTTTAGTGACACATTTAGCTATCATCATTTTCGATTGAGGTCATTGCAGATAAGAGCGCAACTAAAAATCTCAAAGTTGTTGTATTCCCGGTTAAGCAAGTATTTTAAACCATATATTTATGCTGAGCTCGTTATAACTCCGATTTTTCATAATAATCACACCAACAATGTGTATCTCCCGAAGGATTTTAAGTGATTTCTGTCAATAAAGTGATCTCTATCAAGATGCCAACGAACATGGACGCGAGATACTGCTATTTAGATGATAATCTAACTGCATCAGTGTAAAGAAAAAAATGTACATTTATTGAGATTTGATCGTTATAAGTGTTCATGGGCAGGTCAATTAACATGAATTACCGAGGTGTTTGTATGAAATAATGATTCCTATTCACATATGTAGTAGCCTAATTTTATCAAGGGAAAGCGATTGGTGTAATGGAAGCAATTATTATTATAACCAATTGTACCAGTGGTTGTTTTACAGTACGTGTTTGTTTAACTGTACTAAAGACCCTCTCTCTTCCTTTGATTGTGACCTTGCGTGAGTTCGGTTACGCTCAGTACTTCTTTTAAGGCGCTATCAAAGTCATCCCAGCACGCGAAACGCTTGCTCACTATCATACTTCGAAAGGCATCGCTAAGGTCGACTGAAATGTCACTTGAGCATGAAGCACTACAAACAGAGATCATTAATTATTAAAAAGTTATTCCTTGCAACAATAATAAGCCAAGGAAATACCACCAATACTTAGGATTTACCTGTGACTTGACATTTCGTTGAGGTTTACTACAGTTGTTGGGATCACAGATAAAATTACAAAGCAACAACAGAGCCAATGTGTACACTACAAAACAGAGAATGCTAAATAATCCTTTTGGTATCGACTTCGTGCTTTTTTATGCAGCATAAGATGACTTATATGTGAAAAAACTTGATACTCATGCAATCCAACCAACCCACGGCAAATGAAATACGGAATGACCGCCTCTAGTCAGGCCGTTCAAGGTCGTTGGGACGAAAGGGCGGGCACATTTGAAAGGATCTAACGTTGAGACCGTGCTACCACACTTGTAACCTGACACGATCTCGGTATTCATGCGATACCGCGAGATCGCCAACGAATACATTTCGACTACAACCATCGACTACTTTCTGATATTTGGCACGTAGTCCTCCTGTAGCGGTGATCATTGTCAACCACGACTCGATACCACACTAAACATGAATGCTTGATTTCCAGTTGCAAACACAATACCTTCGTTCGTGTTCATCTAGTGCCTCTTCATTAAGTTCTGTTATTTCTTGGACTCCTAGTTTTTTTACTGTGATTTAAATACTCCTAACTATCTTAATTATCTCATTACATGCCAGCAAAATCTGATCGACATTTTACTGATTCTCGCTTTTTTTCAAGCTAACCGGCCAGTATAACTAGAACCATGTTATCATATGTCGAATGTATAATTCAATTGTAAATCTAAGTTTCAGGATTATAAGTAAAATATTGTTGTGACTTTAAATGTCACTAGTTTATCACCTAATTTGTTCGCCAATCGAAGCACGACTCATTCACTCTTGTATTGTATTAAACCAATGACGTTCGACCGTTCCGATAAGCCTGGTGTCCTTATTGGTCCTTTTCTTCTCTAGCTCATCCAGTTGAACTCTGCCTGTTGCTCTTCTAGAGTTACTGCCCGTCCTAAGCCCGAGTAAAGGAGGAGGGTTGGGTATTGGGTTAGCGTCCGTATCTTGTAGAAAACTAACTCGCTAAAAAACGCTTACCAGAAAAAAATTCAAACCATCTAAACTCTGCCCTGACAGTTAGGTCTTTATGGTGAAAGCCGAGTTCCTTCGGAAGCCATGAGGCTCTTCTAACAACCAGTGCAACAATTTTTATAGGTACATGGAACGTACGGACAATGTGGGGGACCGGGAAGACCAGTCAAATAGCAATGGAAATGAGGAGATACAACTTGGCAGTACTGGGAATCAGAGAAACCCATTGGCCCCAAGCTGTACAACAAAAGCTAAATACGGGAGAGGTGCTACTATACTCCGGTCACGAAGAGGACAATGCTCCGCACATTCAGGGAGTTGCTCTAATGATGTCCAAAGTAGTGTGGACCAACGTCGCTTGATATGAGGTCATCAACCTTTGATTCTTCTGGAACATTACGATAGAATTCCTTGAAAATCTCATTTGTGGATAGTCGATCACTGGGATAATTAACATCTATCAAAATTGTATTCAACTTCTGATCATCATTTGTGGTATCTAACACATTTTCTGGTACAAGAGGATCTAGATAATAAGATTCATCAGAATCTCCTGTTGTTGACTGATGAGGACTGTTTGGAGCAGCTAGACTCAGTATACTGCACGATTTGTTTCCTGTTTCCATGTGAGAAGGAACTGTAATTAATTTATGAGCAATTAATGAGAGATCTCCTTCCTGTGAGCTAGGTACATCACTGTCTGTACACGTTTCAGGAACAGTGGAATTTGAACCCACAACAGAGCAT